CTACTTAGAGGTCTACTTCATATCAAGAAACCAGAAAAGCAGTTGGAGAGAGAGAAAATTACTTTAGACGAAGTCATTGAAAAGTGACACGCAAGTTTCTTTGTTGTTGCCTGTGGATTGCTAGATTTGGAAAGTATAAAATTTGAGCACTCATAACCTAGAAGTAGACTAATTACCTGATTATGTATCCGATTATGTATAGGATGATGGATTAATATTTACCTTTTGACTTCATTGCTGGTGGATCTTGTGGTCCATGACTTCGTTGGTGGTAATTTGGAGCCAGACAAACTCGTAATTGTTTTCTCTAGAAGGGAGTAAGGTTACTGTCAAGTAGCATCTAATGACCATCACTTATTGTTGTCTACGACACATATGTCTTTACTATCCTGCTACTTTTTTCATTATTGTCTTTGCAATAAACATATTACTCTGCTTCATATTCAACTCAGCCACATCTTTCTGTTAATGACTTGTTTGTAAATTTTAAGAGAAGCTTCATAATATGGGAGGTTGCACTTATGAAAAGTTACATTTTTTTCATTTTCTTGTTGCGTTTGACAACATAGTCGGCAGGTGTGAAATGGCTTCCTGGTACTCTGTCTTTGCATAGTGTATTTATTCCATACCATTTTTGTAGGGCAATGGAAGAATTAGACAACTCAATATTCCAGGGAAGATTGCTGCATATTATGCCGGCGAAGCCACAAAAACTGTCTACTGAGAAACTAGAGTATTGCTGTTCTCATTACATAAAATTTAATTGTTTACTTTTAGGATTTTTATTTCAATGTTGCTATATTTTTAAAAACTGACTCTTTTTTATGTTTGATCAATTAATCAAGGTCTGATATTGGCCAAGATAAGAAAAGTTTTAAACAACGACGGGAGGACCAAAGGAAAGCATCTGAAGCTAGTGGTGATACGCGCGCTTGGAATAGTTTCTTCATACGTCCAGACACTGTATGTTCTATAACAAGCTTAGAATTCTAATATATGAAAATGAATTTTATTCATTTACTGCAAGTTCAGTACTTTTTTGCTAGTCTACAATACATCAGAATATGCTGATGTATCTTCCTGGAGCAGATTAGAAACACATCCATTATTCTATCACTCCTCTTTTATTTCCCTACCTTCAGACATTCTCGATAAGAGTAAACATAAACATACGCACTATATTCCATCATTCTTGAGTTTGGTCATATTTCATGACTCTTCTCTTGACTCTTATCTTTTTTTTTTCCTCGCTGGATCTTTCTCAACATGCTTACTCATGTAAAAATGGATTCTAATGACAGCAATTTATTTTAAAAAAGGATCTATAAGATGCCATTAAAATATTTTGGATGGATACTAATGGTAGCAAACTAGCAATTGACCCAAACATGACATTCTTATCCATATTAGGTTTCTTTGGTACTAGCCTACTAGTCCTTCAGTTGTAAGGTGAGGGATAACATGTTTATAATTTCTGTTTTAGTTTGCTGTAATTGTTATATTGGTGATTTGAATTAGTGGCTCAAACTTAAAATGCGTATCTTGGTCACTTAGCTTTGATCATATAGTGCCTATGAGCTTGTCCTGTCTAATCAGTGTGTAGGTGATGTGTGAAGGATTCTTGCTTGCAGTTAGGACACCTATAATTTAGCTTGATTGAAATGATTAAACTATGGATTGCATGTTACTCAAAGAGCCCACTACTTAAAGTAGCAACTGCAATTGCAACATGTACGACTAAACTGCAATTTGTCTTTAGGGCTGCAAGAATCCTTTTTGAATTACATATAAATATAAACAAAGCATATAGGACAAAAACTTAGCTCTTAACCATTTACCTTTCTCTGCAGAACTATTATTAATCAGTCTCCAAAGGATTGTTCCTAAATATTCTGATTCCAACTTTTCTTATTTATTTCAACCTATTCTTTCACACCAAAGTTCTGTCCTCCTATTTCTTACTTAAGTTTTTCTACATGTGACACAGGTTGTTGAATACATTACTAGGAAACATGGCATCAGTAAAAGTGATTTGCTTGAAAGAGAAGCAGATGATCTTGCAGTTCGAATTGCACTTGGGGAAACACAAGTGGTAGCAGAGACCAAAAGGTCCTTATCTAGTGCAGGTATTAATGTAGCTGTCTTAGAAGAGTTTGCTTCTAAGAAGAACGACAACATCAAAAGAAGCAACCACATAATACTAGTTAAGAACTTGCCTTATGGTTCAAGTGAGGGAGACCTTGCTAATATGTTTGGAAAATTTGGAACTATAGAGAAGATCGTTCTTCCCCCAACAAAAGCATTGGCCTTGGTATGTATTCATTTGTATCTTTGCCTTATTTGTACTATTGCATGGACTGCTTCAGACCTGGTACTTTTTGCCACTAGATTTGAAACTGTGATATCATTTTCTTCGAGAAAAACATTATCTTTCTTGGTATGCAGTTATTATTCCACGGGCTTCTTGAATTTATCTTCTCTATATTGTAAATATGCTCATGGTCATTGCTAAAATTTGTTGATGATAAACATGGTGATGGTATATTTTACTTTTCCATCAGTATGAATTTAATATATTTTCTCTTCCGTCATGCTGTCTGAAAGCAATAAACTTTAGACCAAACAATATAAAACTTAGGATTACTGTGTTAGCAGTGTTCCTGTTGAGTAACGTGATCCTTGTGGAAAGCATTTTTCTTATCAAATATTTCTGTTCTGATAATTAATTTTCTTTCATCTGAGAATCACGTTTTGCCTAAAATTTCAGGTGATTTTTCTTGAAGCAGCTGAAGCTCGATCAGCTTTTAAGGGCTTGTGTCCTTACATGCGTTATCCTGTCACAGGGATTCAATATTTTTTTCTCTACTTGCTTGTATCCTAAAAGTTTGGAATAAATCTTTGTTCTCGTTGGTATGCCTTTTCTGTAGTATGTTCAAAACCCCTATAAGATGCTATTCAAAACTCCTATAAGATGCTACCAGTGAACTTGAAGCCCTTGAGCTTTTGCATTTCTTGTTACTTATACAGTTGTAGTGTTGAGTGCATGTCATATTCTCCTTGAAGATGCTGCTGAGGAACTTCAACCCCTTATTTCTTATGTACTCTATTTTTTCTCAATCCTCCGCTATCTTTTATTCTTATATTTGTTTGAATCATCCATCATTTTCTATTTTTTTTAACCTTTACAAATCTGTGGAACAACTAAAATATATGTCTGTTTTTATTTATTTATTTTAAGTTTAGATCAATGCTTGTCTGTAAAGTAAAATCTTTCCTCCTGGTTGTACCTGGATTTACTCAAACTTAGAATCTATAGGTTCTTAGCTGCCATTCATACTTAAAGTTGATCTTTCTTCATATTGATTGTGGAAACTTGCAGAGATGCTCCCTTGTACCTGGAGTGGGCCCCTGGCGACATACTAGCTCCTAACCAGAAATCAGAACAAGATGAACCGAGCGATACAGTTTATGAACAAAGCAGTAAGAATGTCTCACTTGAGCAGACCTTGGAAGGCATACTGGAAGAGGATATTGATCCAGACAGGGTTGAGGTTTGCTTATTTCCTTTAGTCCCATATTATTATTAGCATCTCTAGATGTGCAAAGACACACACAAGTTATTTAAGCTAATTATTTAAAATATATATATAAAGAATAACTAAATACTGTTATAAGAGATTTTGATAACTGAAAAATTATTTTTTATCTTGTACTTCTTTTCCATTTTGGACGTTGTGACTTCATAAATGGGAATACAAATTTGTTATGTTTCGTATTACTTCTATTGATGATTTATTTGATGGGGAACTTTTTGCTTGTATGTTTTTGTATCTTCAATATCTCTTCTACATCATACCAAACTTATCTTTTAGCTAGAAATTTTACATATAATAACGTTATCAAAATGTTATTTTGTGTAATTAATTTTTGAAAAGAGAAAAAACAATTATATTCCTCTTATTTAAATAAAAAATTAGCAAAATTTTGTTATATTTTTTACATAATATATAGTTACAGTTTTATAGTTTGCTCGACTTGTATACTTAAAAGAGTAGAAATCATTCAAATGCTTTTGAAAACTTTTTTATTGAAAATTTTATCTACATGAAAACAATACTCTATAGAAGGTAGAAGAGTAATGGAGGAGAATTAATGAATTATTTATGAGAAATGTAATAGTAGAAGTCAATGTTTTATAATTTTCAATGGGAGATATATTTATATATTATACCTTTACACCTTTTAATGTATAGAATTAATAAATTAATAAATATTTATTGATTTTATAATTTTGAAATTTCATTTTTTTGGGGTGCAAAGGAAGAGTGTAAAATGATTTTAGAGAGATGAGAGAGAATGAGAAGGAGAGTGGAAGGATAAGGACAAAAATGATGAGAGGGAGGGATGGAGGGAGGGAGGTTTTTTTTATTTATTTATTGGGTGGGGGTGGAGGAGGGAGGGTTCCTTCACCACCACCATAAGAATGGACTTTTATAAGACATGTTATCATTAAATATCTTTCTATAGACATTTAAAGTTACAGACAGTAAAGTTAATGTCTGCCCATGTTGCAAACTTGTTGCATCTAATGTTGTGAGAACAGTTCCTTGATGCATATTTGACTCTCTACAGTTGCAATTTTCATACCACTGAACAATTTGCTGATAATGTCATCATTCTTGATGCAGTCAAGGTCTGTCTTTGTCAAGAACTTGAATTTCAAGACATCTGATGAGTCCCTGAAAAAGCACTTCAACAATAACATAAAGAGCGGAAGCATAAAAAGCGCCATGGTAGACTTTCAATAGACTGGATATCTTCTTTGTGATATGGACATTCCTTCTCATGTTTATCTTCATCTTTATGTTAGGTAAAAAAGCATGTTAAAAATGGAAAGAATGTCTCCATGGGTTTTGGGTTTATTGAATTCGATTCAATTGAGACAGCAACAAACATATGCAAGGATTTGCAGGTAATTGTATCAGTTCTGCGCCAACACACTTCATTTGATTAGTCCATTTGAATACTGGTGAATAATCTATATCTGATTACTTTGTCTTGCAGGGAACTGTTCTTGATGGGCATGCTCTCAACTTACAACTTAGCCGTTCTAAGAGAGAAGGTCAGGTTCCAAAGAAAAAAGATAAAGATCTTAGTTCGACCAAACTACTTGTAAGAAATGTGGCATTCGAGGCAACTGAGAAAGATCTGAGGCAATTATTTAGTCCTTTTGGCCAGGTATACTCTAAACATGTTATGAACCATGCAAATTCAGTCCAGTACAATAGTCATTTTAGTTACCGTTGAGTTTTTATATTCTGGACCTTCTGGTCCTATACACATTTCATGACAAAATCAACAATACCCAGGCGTTGTTACTTGATAAGTTGACCGTATTTTCCCCATATTTTATGGTTAAGATCCTTAATATAATGTGTGTATCAAATGTCTGTTCAGACTTCAGAGCATTGAAATAAATGATTAAGTTGGTGGCAACGGTCTAATTTTTTTTCTCACTGATCTTGGTCTTTCTCTCGTTTGTTCCAGTATGCCTTGTTGTATCTTTCTTTGTCATGCCCAGATCCCTGAAGAATATGTAAAAGAATTGCTTACCGTTTTAGGAATATCAACATTAAGGGGATGTGTGGTTGATAGGAACTAGATGTAGCAAGTGAATGCTGCAGACTGCAGTCAAACTTCTATTTTCAATAAGCTGCAGCAAATGACGCAGTTCCTTGAAGTTAAAAAAAAAAGAATTAATGTCATATCTTCAAAGTAGAGATCCCAGCCTATAAACTGTAAATCATTTTACAATTACTGTTAAAGCAAACACTTGATTTGCAAAATACATTGCATGCAATGGAAGATGTAAATCGTAAAGTTGTGACCTAACGGAACATTGAATTTGCATTTAAAAATATATTTTCAGCTACAGAAGGTTACATATCCAGACAAAATACTTGGGGCTAATTTGCTGCATCAAATGGGTGCATGCGACATTTTTTCTGCATGATATAGTTGATGCATTTGCAATCGCAGTGTAGCAAATAGCCTCTCTTCGATGTCACTATTGCTTTTTTATCACAAGTACCTATAATTCTGGCGTATAAATGATGGGTTTTCTTCTTTGTCAATCTCCAATCAATCATTTTCTCTATTTATCTCAGGTCAAGAGCTTAAGATTGCCAATGAAGTTCGGTGGCCATAGAGGTTTTGCATTCGTGGAGTTCGTCACAAAGCAAGAGGCTCAGAATGCTTTCCAAGCTCTTTCAAGCACTCATCTCTATGGCCGTCACCTGGTAAGATCAAAATTACAATATTTATCTCTATTTTTTAAACTTCCAGTTATGTTATTGCATACCCGAAGTGATTTCTTTATTCAGGTTCTAGAGCGAGCTAAAGAGGGAGAAAGTTTGGAAGAATTGCGAGCGAGAACTGCTGCCCAATTTGTAGATGAGCAAAATGGATTCCAGAAGCTGTCGAAGAAAAGAAAATTGAGTATATTTGATGAAAGCGATGTCAAATCTGCAAGGATATAGGAATATTTTTCTCTTCTTTTGGCGGTGATATAATTTTTTGTTTTCGGTGCAAAAATGCAATTTCAATCGTAATATTATGCTGTGTAATTTTTTTATTATACCTTTGTTCCCTCTGAGGAGCATAGCAAATTTGTAGTGTTGCGATCGTCAACTTCATATTATGTAGTTTCCTGTGTATTTCCCTCGAAGCAATTTTGTAACGTTATTTCTTAATCAAATTTTTTTTATCCTTTATTGTTTTTTGGTTCATTTGAATTGGCCACGAACTGAGTGCGCATGTCAAATGCTTGACATCAATATATCAGCAAATACAAAGACTATATTCATATTAATGCACTAGTTCCCAAATTTTCAAAACCAACCCTTTTAGCATTTTATTTGCAAAAAACGACCTATTTTGAAAATAATTACAAAAACCGACCTGTTTTCAGCCCAGCGCTGAAAACAGGTCGGTTTTTGTAAAAAAGTCTCCGAAACATCACGGGAGTTCAACTCCCGTGAAGTTTATCGAGAAATTAAACTTCACGGGAGTTGAACTCCCGTGAAGCTTAATTTTGCTTAAAACTCCACGGGAGTTCAACTTCCGTGGAGTTACAGTCGAAAATTTCCAGCGAACCGAGTCTCTGGCAAATTGTGACTGCAACTTCACGGGAGTTGAAATCCCGTGAAGTTGCAGTCCCAAATTTCCAGAGACTCGATCTCTGGCAAATTGTGGACTGCAACTTCACGGGATTTCAACTCCCGTGAAGTTGCAGGTCACCCAGCATGCACAGCTTCTGTGCAGGTTTTGTATATTTACCTGTAAATCATATATATGTCAATTTATTTGCAAACAACAATATATACATGATTCAACCATGAATTAAACACACACGATTATGTATATGAACAACAATTTATCTTCAAAAGTTCAGTATTTGAAAATTCAGGAAAGTTACAAAATTTATCAAAATAAGTTCATATACAACCCAATATAGCTCCCCTCCTTCCTCTCCCTCTCTTCCCCCTCCCCCTCGCTCTTCCCCGCCCCCTGGGTTCCTACTGATGAGCCTCAACTATCTGAGTATCCGACTGTGTATGAAGCTGCGAAGTGCCGGCTCCATCGGCATGCGAAGTGCCGGCGTCATCGGCATGCGAAGTGCCGGCGTCATCGGCATGCGAAGTGCCGGCGTCATCGGCATGCGAAGTGCCGGCGTCATCGGCATGCGAAGTGCCGGCGTCATCGGCATGCGAAGTGCCGGCGTCATCGGCATGCGAAGTGCCGGCGTCATCGGCATGCGAAGTGCCGGCGTCATCGGCATGCGAAGTGCCGGCGTCATCGGCATGCGAAGTGCCGGCGTCATCGGCATGCGAAGTGCCGGCGTCATCGGCATGCGAAGTGCCGGCGTCATCGGCATGCGAAGTGCCGGCTCCATCGGCATGCGAAGTGCCGGCTCCATCGGCATGCGAAGTGCCGGCGTCATCATCACGCGGCCGTCGACGTCGAGCGTACGCCCGTCCAAATGAGCGAGACCTGTCCTCACGGCCTGCGAACTCGTCGACGTGAGTCTTATGGAACACCTGCGCTATGCTCTTCTTGATCCTGCTGAGGAGACCTAACGCCACCTGATCCTGAATCTCAGTCACGTGCGCATCAATATCAGCATCAATGCTATCTAAAACACGGACCTGCGTGGTAAACAATTTATTAAGTATCAACTCAATAAAAAATATTATAATTTAGCTTAGAAACTTACGTAATCTCTCTCGTTCATCCCACTAGGGATGTAACTATCTGTCGGTGGGCGTGGCATGTGTCCAGCTAAAGGCTGTGGGTCACGCGTGATCCATCTACGTGTGATACCCCAATACCAACGCATATACGTGGTATAGTCAACAGCTGTGGGCCTCGTATCCTGTATGCAATCCCACCTCTGAACCCACCTGCCTATGTAGTCCGCACGGACTACGGCCCAGTCAGTCCGGTGCGATGTAGGGCGCCGCCGACGATTGATCTGCTCGACAGGATCTGGAATATGCTGAGAGAGTGTAAACTGCCGTAGCACACGGTCCGGTACATGCATCTCTACGATCTCCCAACAGATCAATGGAACTCTGGCTCTCCACAAGCCGGGACTATCTCGGCAGATAGGTGCAAGAGAATGTATATCGAGCTCCGGCGGTGTATAGGGTCTCCACTTGAACTGAAATAAAGTAAAACATTTATCTTTATCATACAGAAAAACTATAATATTCATACTTCTTGAGTTTTATATTTACCTGTTCATGCTGGAGGCCATCAAGCTCATTTCGGTAAAACTGACGGTGACGCGTCGCTGATTTGTACTGAGCGTATCGCACGTTATACCTATATGCAGAATAGCGAATATATAAGTACAAATATTCAGGTTACGAATGAAATATGTGTGTGTACAATTATACCTGTATGCCAACGGATACTGCCCCTCTAAGTCACGGTGCATAAGTAAAGTGGGTCGTCCAATATGAATGCGCTCCCATGACCAAATCTGTATCAACGTACAGCATCCCTTGAATTCTTTATTCTGCATCAGAGATACTCTACTCAATTCTCGATACAAATATGCCAACACCGCACTGCCCCACGATAGTGCCCCGCATACACCAAAATCCTCCAGCAGTGGCAGCCATCGTGCATGTACGAGAGTCTTGCTCGCATCAGGAAATAGTACGCACCCTATCATGTGCAATATGTATGCACGAGCATGAAACTGGAGCGTCTCATCAGAGGCATCCTCTGGTATGTCGCCCTGAAATGTCTGACGAAGCCACGATAGCTTCATCGCACCACTCCTCAAGTCGGGAACCTGTCCAAGTAGCCGGCCACATACCTCCGGCCAACTATGATCGTCGGTGCCCGTAACTACCGGTCCATCAATCCGGAGCCCAAGTATGACGGCCACGTCCTGTAAAGTGATCGTGCACTCCCCTATATGCATGTGAAAGGTGTTGGTCTCTGGCCTCCACCTCTCAATCAAAGCAGTGATAAGCGGCCAATCAAGCCTGATATAACGAATCGTCGAACACGGTCGAAAACCGGCCTGAGCGATCAAAGCTAGTACCCTCTCATCCTCTATGACCCATGCCGAATGACTATGGGAATGCTCGATCATCGTGTACTCTGGTACGGGCTGCACATAAAACGAGAATCAGTTTTAAGTATATTCATTAAAAAATTACATTAATCGAAGAAATATATATCTAATTTATTCGTATTACCTCTCCCGAACCAATATGGTCTGAACAATGACTCGCCTGAAGGTACAAAACGTCGGGATTCTCCGGTCCCGGATCCATAATGAATAGACCTGTGATTAAAATATGAGCATATATACAAAGTGCAATGAACACAGTATCATACATAGCATATTACAAATTGGTTCGGACATAGTGCAAAACGCTACATAATACAAATGCATGGGTGAAATGAACGGAGTTGCATACAGAACATATTACAAATAACGAGTATCATACGCTTCAAAGATAACAACTACGAATGACATAGTGCAAAACGATACATAATACAAATCAACGCCTAATACTAACTGGACACCTATTTTTGTTGTGACCCGGTTGATCACATCTACTGCACTTATTTCTCCTCCTAGCTCCTTCACGTCCGTCATCCATACTATTTCTAATACGCACGGAACGAGGGCGCCCCGCCGATCTTTTATACAGTGGAGGTAATATCCGTGGCCCATCTTGTGTCCAATGTCGACTATCGTATGGTGGACGAAAACACTCTTTGTAGGTTTGTTGATAGTTGTATGCAGAATACCAAGCGTCGACAAATTCATAATGTGAAATGCGAGCACCACCCTGTAGGTCGGAGCAAGCTGCTACAACATGTGAACAAGGAATCAATTGTAGTTGCGGTACATTGCAAGTGCACGTACAAGTGTGATCCACCAACATATTGACTTTGTAAGAGCGATTTTCTCTATGGGTTATTCCCTCGAGCACCTCCCATTCATTAAAACTGTATCGTACAACCTGAAAGGACTGAGCTTGTACAATCCGAGCCGCTAGCATTTCATCAACCTTCGGTGTTAGCTGGGAGCGCATATTTTCACCAAGTTCTCGACGTCGAACAAAGAATTTATTAAGCCTGTAAAAAGTTTTAGCAACTAGTGCCTGTATTGGCATGCCGCGTGCTCCCCTGAGCACGCCATTGAAGCTCTCAGACGCGTTCGTAGTCATCATACAGAACCGTCGACCGCCATCCTCACATAAAGCCCACTTATCAACATTGTTTGGACCCAAACTAGTTTCGATCCAATCATGTGCGGCTCGTGAAGTGAACTTGATCCTCTCTCGTATTTGTTCATAAACATATTTTTCTGTTGCACAACCGGCTTGCCAAAGTAAGTCTTGAACCTGAGCGTTTCCATACTTCTTCTTGAAGTTGTCTCTAATATGTCGCAAGCAATAGCGATGTGCATGTGGTGGCGGGAAATGTCGTTGGAGTGCTCTTGGAATTCCTTTCATCCTATCGGATATGAATGTAATATGCCGCGTCCCCACACTAGGGATATGATATCTAATGCATGCAAAAAACCAAGCCCAATTCTCTGTATTTTCAACATCAACCACTGCGAATGCTAAAGGAAACAACCCGCCATCCGCGTCAACTCCGGTTGCAACAAGCAAAACGCCTTTGTATTTACCATATAAGTGAGTTCCATCAATGCTAAGAAGAGGACGGCAATGACGAAACCCCTCAATACAGGGCCCAAATGCCCAAAATACACCGGTGAACCGCCGTTCTCCGCCATCAACGGGGTCCGAAGATACTTCGTAGACAGTCCCCGGATTTTCTCTTTTGAGTGCTTCAAGATAATGAGGTAAGATCTCATACGATTTATCCCAATCCCCGAATATTTTTATCATCGCCTTCCTCCTAGCATTCCAACACTTGTGATATGATACATCCAAGTTGGTGGCTTTATGCACTAAAAGACGGATATCTTTCGGCCTTAGATCAAGATCCTCCCTCAGATGCGGTAAAATCAATCGATATATAAAAGAAGAGGACGCATTCTTGTTATTCATCTCTAATCGAGGATTGCTACAAGTGTGGAGTCCATTGTATGCCGTGATTTTGAATTGCCCACCTACTCTTGAACCCGAGCGTGAATTAAGCTTCCACGGACACCTCGCATTGCCGTCGTGGTGTCCACTATTATCTTCGACATCGTCATCTTTGCGATAGAAACAAACCACATTATAGCTTGTAGTATTATTTTTGGTTGGCCTGAACTTCACATTTTTTGCAATGGAATACGTGCGAATAGCATGGATCAATTTCTCCTTACTCTCGTAAAGATCTCCCTTGATGAATGAGAAGTCCTCGGCCTGTGTATCAACACCGCTATTAGTGCCAATAGGAACACTTTCCATCGCGGAGTTATCAATCCATTCATCTCCTTGAAGTTCATCGGGCGGCGGATCCTCTAAGCCGACATACTCATTATTAACATAAGCCCCGTCGATGTGTTGGTTTTCCCCGTCATCACGATCTATCAAGGTCATGCTATTAATTTGTAATCCCTCCTCTTCATCATTCTCGGATTCAACACTTGCATTATCTTCTTGAATTCCCGTGTTAGTATCGAAAGCATTCGAAGTGCCCACGAACGAAGGACCGCTCATGTATTGTGATTGTGTCCAACATTCATCTTGTTGAGGAGATAAAAAGCCTACAGAATCAACTTCAGGATCCTCCAACATGCGGGAATACATTCCTTCGTAGTTCAACGATTTGCCCAAATCTCTCTGATGTTTTTCAATGAACAATTCGACCGAACGCTTCTCGTCGTGTAAGACATGAATGAGACCCATATCGTAGTCACTTGATATTTGAATGCCACTTGTTCTGTTCTCCACAACAGGATAATTGCAAACCACACTGAGGTGATACTCACGTGAGTTAGTTAATGTAAGTTTGTGTAATTCATTAACCAAATCATCGAAAGTACACGATTTTGTTATGAACAACGGTCTCGTCGTGCCTCCTTCATAAACGGGCATATTATTCTCGAGGTAATTAATCTTCCCATCATAAGAACAGAGAATTACAATTCGATCATTCATCGTTACCTCTGAAGAGTGAAAAATTCAATATCAATATTACACGAAAAGCCAAATAAATATTGATTGTTACTAATTTTTACATTTAGGTAGTAACTCTAATTTCCACATTAATTGATAATTTCACCTCTAAATACGCAAAATTATTTAATACGTCTTCACAAAATTCGTAAATAATTCACAATTAAATTCTAAAATCTAAATACAATAATTTTCGAAATTATTGATAACTTCCCCTCTAATTTCACAAAATTATTGATAATTTTCACACTAATTCTTCACAAATTTCACAAAATTATTGATAATTTCCCATTTAATAATTTCCCCTCTAATTTTCACATTTATTGATAATTTTTATATTTATTGATAATTTTCACACTAAATTTCACATTTATTGATAATTTCCCTTCTAATTTTCAGATTTCTTCACAAAATTCAAAAATAATTCATAATTAAATTCTAAAATCTAGATTTTTACATATAATCACAATCAAATAGTGAGAGTATACAAAAATTAGAGAGTATATTTTTTTAGGAAGAATTTACCTTTTTTTTGGATTTTTTGACTCAGATCTGAGATCTGACGGCGGCGGCAGTCGGAGCTGTGGCGGCGGCGACGGTCGGAGGCTGGGTCGGCGTCGGCGGCGGCGGTCGGAGGCAAGGGCGGCGGCGGATCCTTGCTGCGGTGGCGACGGCACAGGGGCGGAACGAAGGGTTAGGGTTTTGGGCTGTCGGGCTGGGCACGCGCGGTTATATAGGGGAGCCAAAACTCCACGGGAGTTCAACTCCCGTGGAGTTTCAGTCGAAAATTTCCAGAGAGTGGATCTTCGGGAATTTTTGACTGCAACTTCACGGGAGTTGAACTCCCGTGAAGTTGCAGTCAAAAATTCCCGAAGAACCGAGATCGGTTCTCTGGAAATTTTCGACTGTAACTCCACGGGAGTTGAATCCCGTGAAGTTGCAGTCACAATTTGCCAGAGACTCGGTTCGCTGGAAATTTTCGACTGTAACTCCACGGGAGTTGGAACTCCCGTGGAGTTTTAAGCAAAATTAAGCTTCACGGGAGTTCAACTCCCGTGAAGTTTAATTTCTCGATAAACTTCACGGGAGTTGAACTCCCGTGATGTTTCGGAGACTTTTTTACAAAAACCGACCTGTTTTCAGCGCTGGGCTGAAAACAGGTCGGTTTTTGTAATTATTTTCAAAATAGGTCGTTTTTTGCAAATAAAATACTAAAAGGGTTGGTTTTGAAAATTTGTCCATGTTTATAAATGTTAAGATATTAGTTCCAGTTTTCTACTGACTTACCGTGGGTCCGCACGTTCTAATTTGACTCTCACGGTCTTGGAGGCCTATGTAATTTTCGACAACTGTTTTAACAGTAAATTTATAATATAATAATAAAAAAGGATTAAAATTGTCTAGAATTAGCATGCGAGTCACGGTCGAGAATTTTCGAACATTCTCACACGTTTGTACAACTGAGGGTACTCTCAAGAGATACGCTTTGACTCATACTTGAAACTCTTCAAATCAAATAAAGGCGCTTGCGTCGAGCTTTATTGAAGAAGGAAGTTCCAGGAACAAGCTGATAGGATAATGCAAGGTGCAAATTTTAAAGAATTTAGGATATATAAATGCTGCCGAACAATGGACAAATTTTCAAAACCAACCTGTTTTGAATCTTAATCTCAAAAAAAGACCCATTTCAAACTTAATTTTAAAAACCGACCCAGTTGACTAAAACTGGGTCGATTTTTGAAAAAAAAAAGTTCTCAAAATTCACGGGAGTTGGAAGTCCCGTGAAGTTTTTTATGTAACAAAACTTCACGGGACTTCAACTCGCGTGAAGTTTGAGAACTTTTTTTTTAAAAACCGACCAGTTTCTGCCCAACTGGGTTGGTTTTTAAAAATAAGTTTGAAACAGGTCGGTTTTTGGGATTTTTTTGGCAAAGAAGTCTGTTTTGAAAATTTGTTCGCCGAACAACAAGTGAGAATAAATAGGCGTAGTTCAAGCAGGCCCATGCGGCCGAACGCGATGTCATGAGTAACGGGTCCAGTAGAAGTGATGGCTTTAGGCCGAAAATACAATCAACTTCAACCCAATTTAAGGCCCATTTGAGCCCAAACTTGGACACCAAGGTTAGTTTTCCATTGGTCTCCCTTGACGATTTCATTCGAATCAGAAGCAAATAGGAACCGGAAAAATAATGGCTAAATCGGCGGCGGCGGCGGACGGTCGATAGGATTGGACAAACGGACGGCGGAGAACGCTCTGCGAAACCCTAAGGTCACCGCGAATCTCACCAAGGTCATCCACGAGGTACACTTCTCTCCTCCTCCGTTTGCCTTAAACCCTAAATTTGTTGATGATAGCAAGGTAGATATTTTGAAGGAATTTTTTGATATTTTCTCTTAATTTGTCTAAAGTTTTATAAACTTTATATGTGAGGATTCATAAGGCGACGGGGAAAAAAGGTATATTTTTTTTGTCCTAATTCGATGTTTGAGGAGAACACAGAGAGATTTTGAAGGAACTTTTTTTATTTCAATTTTGCTTTTGAGGTAGAGGGTTTAAAATGCTTAATGAGTACATGAGAAGTTTTTTTTTTTTTTTTTTCATTTTACATTTCTAGTAACTATAATGGAATGAGAATTATGAAACGTACAACCTTTTAGGTGAATGGAAAGGGATATGCTAATAGTGGAATAAAGAAATGGACACAATCATTATGAGTTAGAAGAACTTTTGACTGAGCATCAGATGAAAGAGATTGGTTGAGATGGTTTGCTCTGATGAGGAGGTTAGGATCGTGGTTTTAGGAGTGGCCACGAGACATGCTAATTTGATAGAGATAAGTTCCTTAGTTGAACTGAATGGCTTAAAGGGTTAATGTTAGAGAACAGAAAAAATTGGGATAAAAGGCTCAGTTACCTAATTTGTTGGTGCTGTCGTCATCGTTTTATCTATTATTTAATTGACTGTTTAGGGGACAGAGGAATAACTTTACTACTGAATTATAAATGCAGGCGGATGTGCAAAATGGATGCGATAAGACTGTTGGAAATCTTCTATACATGGTATAATTGTTTATCATCATTCTCCATTTCAAAGTAAACCTTTACTATTCATTTATATTACTATATTGGTTATTCTTCGGCATGCATGTGTAGGTTGCTACAAAGTTTCCAGCTAATGCTTTGAATCATCGGGTTTTTCTACTCAAATACATTGTCTCTTCACAGGTAAATCAATCACTATATCTTTTCTTTATGCCTATCTATCTTGATCATTGTTCTTAGCGAATATGGTATTTTAAACTTGAAATTTGAAGGGATAAAGATCATCAATCTTGTTTCGTAATTTAACTCAAGAGCAGATGCTAAATTTCTGAACCTAGCTAGTACCATAAACCATAAATCATTTTAGCCTTTTCATATTGTTCATATTCGTATCTGACAATTGCACTAATCTGCAGGTAAAAAATGCTGCCCAGTTGGATGCAGCATTATCATTCCTTTCAAACATTGGGCCTGAAAGTTTCAACGAGAATGAGTTTGAAGAAGCTTGCGGTGTCGGTATGCATCTTGCATATGGTTTATAAAGCATGTGTATACTGGCTTGCTTTGAAAAGAGCTGGTATAATGAGCATATGACAGTATTTAGATCACCTCAGGGTACTTAAAATTCTAGTTTAGTTTTGTGCTAGTCCATATTGACCAAGGAACATGCATGCTTTGTGCCATCTAACAAAGCTTAAAGTCCATAACCATTTTCTAGTTAAATATTTCACAGACGTATAGAAACTCACCTGTTAGCATGTTAAATTTTTTCATGTACATAAAGTACATGTCTCCATGTGTAACAAGTTTGTTTGATATATACTGTTTGTGAATATGTGCATGGTAGGCTTGTAATTCAAGTTATATTGATCACACGAGGTTTCTGTGCTTCTACTTACCAACTCCACCCTTGAAATTTTGATAATTGCCTATTAACTTGGAGAATTTAGCCCTATCTGCCTTTCACTTGCATGGTTACTTTACTGAAATGCATATAGTCATATAGAAAATGTTGTATTGTTTCTAACTGCTCCTGACTCTTCATAGAGCTTTTTGGGTTTGCTATGGAATAAGAAGAGCTTTATTTCTTTTAAATTAATCTGTAGTTTGCTTGTTAGATTTAAAATCTCACTAGTTATTACTAGCTTGGGTTGGAAAATTTTATTTCTTATAAAAAAGAAAGGAAAACCCTGAGCTTGAGAGCAGTGTTTTGGCATTTCTTATTTGTTTACATTCAGTGGCAGATCCAGAAAATTTTCCTTGGGGGGCCGACAACACGTATCTATTTTATCTAAAAAATAAAAAAATATTATAAGACAATAGTACCTTATGGAAATGTTCTCGGTAGTCGATACGCTTTTATCAATTTCATTGCATCATATTTGCATGTGATGTGAGATTGTGAGGGATAAGCAAAAATAGCATAACAAAAATTGAATACAATCAATTGTTGCCATCAAGTGAATACGATAATCCTCTTTGGCTTGATCTGATTGCTTGGATATAGCGGCATCAATGCATTGCTTTTGCTTCATTAAAGCTTGATATTTATTCCAAGCTTTATTATGTGCACCATTTGAACCACCAACATGTTTTACTAGGCCCTCTTTCTTTTTCTAATTTGTATACGCATTGATAGTAAACTAATCACCAACTTGCTTAGGCTTCATAAGATAAGAACATAACCGAAAGGCCACATCTTAAGATATGCTATACTCAAGCCAATTTCCCAAGTCATCAAACCAATTAGGATTGAAACAGTGCAAATTGTTTCCAATTTCTATTTGTGGAAATTTATGTTTGCATGGTTGAAAAAGACCTTTTTGTAAATAAGCTCTTCGAACATCATCTCGATCATTGGGATGATAATCTAAAATATTTGGTCGAAGCTCCGGATCCGCCGGAAGATGTTTCAAGTTCACTCCATTGCTTCGCTTGGTAGTAGGATCTAAATTCTCAAGATTATCTAAATTCGGACTAGTTGATGGTTCCTCCGTTAGTAACTTTCTCTTGAGAAATTTATACATAGCTAAAAATAAAGGTTATGCAAGATAATAAATATCAAACTATTATTCCAATTAATTAATTAATAATTATTTTTTACTTTTAATTAATATATAATTTTTATATGACCCAAATTTTCAAAATAAATAGCAATCCATCAACCATACAATACAATAGAATAGTTTTATTTGTCAAATAGAATAGCTTTATTTGTCAATGCATTATAGCAGCATATTTTAAGGAAATAAAAATGTTATCAATATAATATATTACACATACAAGTCATCCAATAAAAACTACAAGGGTCAATATGACAACATCAAAGTTCCTTCTTTTGCCTAAAAGAGTAATCAAAATTACTCCTTTTCCTAATAAACCCTAGCACTGGTCAAATTTCTAACACCAAAAGACCGGGACAACAAAAACCCTAGAGGGAAATAAACAAAACGTGGGGTTTTCAATTTTTTTCTTTAATTTCAATGCGTACTTAAATAAAAAAGGGGCAGTTCAATATATTTGAATTTTTAGTGAAATTAAAGAAACTATTTAACAAGTAAAACTATTCTATTGCATTGCATTCTTGATATTAATTTTTTTGAATTGTAGCCCCAAATCGTAGATGAAAGCATTAAGCATACGAATGCGTGAATTATTAATAAAATAAAAATAATATTAACTCATTTAAAACACAATTCGAAAGAAAATTTGGCTCACTTGACAATTGGTGATTCATGATGAGAATTGAGAAGTTTATGAGAGGAGGATTGGGCAGTGATGGGTCCAATCGGAGGTCTAGGCGGC